AATTTTGCGAGCTTTATGCTGTGTTTGGTTAGGAGATTTGAAGAGGAAATTGGTGGTTAGGAGATTTGAAGAGGAAATTAGAAAAGGAAAGGAAAAAAGTATGTGAAACTAGGTGAAATGTAGGTATATTTTACATTTCACCTAACTTTTTCTTTTCCTTTTTCAAATCCCTCATCAAATTCTTCAACCAAACACAGCATTAAGCTTCGCAATGAGGATTGAAATATAAGCTTAAAGCTGCTGTGTTTTAAAAGTGAAAACTTTTCTTCTTTTTTTTTTCCCTAAAAATTCTGAAAACAAAACAATATATCAAAACAAGTTCTCGTTTTCACTTCACAAATTCGTTCTCAAAACAAGCTGCTGTGTTTGGATGAGCTTTAAGCTTTTATTTCAATCGCTCTTTCCTTCCTTTTTACTTTCACTTCACAAATTCGTTCTCAATTTTTTTTCATCTAAATAAGACGACCTATAACTAGGGATGATAATCGAGCCGAATAATTAACTGTTCACGTTTGGTTTTTAACAAATTTCAAAATTTGTTCATTTTGGTTGGTTAAACTTTCGAGCCGATCTCAAACTAGCTTTTGTTGAGCCAAACTCGAGTAGTTTGGTATTTTTACATAATTTTAGATTTATCGAACCAAACCGAAGCTTGGTTTGAAAACTTTAATGAGTTCTTCAAGATTGGCTGGTTTACTTAATGAGTTGAGCTCGATCGAATTTTAACGAGTCGAGCTTGAGCTGTTTGTTTCATTTATTACCCTTACCTATAACTTGTGATTTCAAAAAGTGTGGTATTTTATCAAATAGTTTGGGGTCATATTTTTGTAATATGTTATTGAAAAACAAATTTGAGCCAAAAGACTCTTTAACATGCCATATTTTCGACTTTGGGAAGTCAATTTGGTTGTGTGGTACTTGTATTTAGATTGCTGAACATGCATTTGTAATGGTGATATACCTAGAATTAGTCAACAGAGTAGAGGACCTGGCTATGTATGTAATGTAATTGCTACCAGCATTGTAAGAGGATATCCAGTGAAATTAGTCAAAATATCTAGCCCAAATCCCACTTTATTACTTTAGCTAATCACCTTTTCAATGTACACTCCGAGAATACTCTTTAATTTAGCCGTCTTTTTTTACAATATTCATTTAATGCTTTTATGACAGAGAAAAAGGACAAAGTAAATGGTTAGTGACTCAACAGAAGTAGCTAGAAACTACAAACTTTACAGAAACCACATAAGTCAAATCATCTACTTGTATATTTGAATCGGTAATGATGGAATAAGTGAATTATTTGATATTTCCACTAGAAATTTTAGGTTGAGGAAGTTTTGGCATTTTGTCTTCAGTTTACTTGTTTCATGCTGATATGACTTAAATGGCATCGACCCTGATGGACTGCCAATTGTTGGTCCACACCCGTAGCATTGGTCTCATACAATGTCCTTCCTTCTGACTTGTGTTATACTATTTTGACATGGTACTCACAAAAAGTCGTACGAAATGTGAATTGTAGTTGATGATTTTGGTTGATGATGCGGGAGGTGAATGGCCTATGATTGGGCATGCACCGTGGAATGGTTGCAATCTCGCCGACTTTGTGATGCCGTTCTTCCTATTCATTGTGGGGATGGCAATTGCACTTGCTCTCAAGGTTAGTTTATCAATTTTATTCAAAGTAACAATGTGGATTTTCAGAGTTGTTATTACCATGCATTTATCCTTGATTTTTTATGCATAGAGAATACCCAACTGGCTTATAGCCACCAGAAAGGTTATCCTTAGAACTCTTAAACTCCTCTTTTGGGGCCTCCTGTTACAAGGTGAGTTTTTGTTTCATTTTTGTACTTGCTCTGCATGAATTTTCCTTATTGTCCTTTAAAGCACCAAAACTTTGGTTTTGCATATAAATGATAACGAAGTTGATTCCCTAGTTCAAAATGCAACATAAACACTACAATGCTAGGTAACTTTCTAGCCAAAAGAAAAAGAGTTTGTCTTTGCATTGTTTGATGAATAGTGGCTAAAAAGCACTCCCTTTACGGGCCAAGATGATGTTGTTGGGTACACACTTTTAATATGTGGAGACTTTCATACTTCTGTTGCTTACTATTGAAAATCTAACAGTGTTTTCATATCTTTGGACATGAGAATTAGATGAATCAGACCTTAGACATATATACCCGAGTCCGTGTAACATAGTTTTCAACTTGTGTTTTCAACCTGAATTTTAGCAATAAAATTACATTTCACATTAAGATGTTTTCCTATAAGGACATATTTCGGTGTTACTTGGGATGCTAACTTGGCTGCATTATGTTATGAAGGAGGTTATTCACACGCTCCCGACAAATTAACATATGGCGTGGACATGAAAAAGATAAGGTGGTGTGGCATTCTGCAGGTAGTTTTGTTCACAATTTTCTGTGGTAGAGTTTCATCACAAATATTATTTTTTAGTAAGTGGATTTTTATGCAGTAATTTTTTTTACCCTTTTTAGAGAATTGCTCTGGCATATTTGGTAGTGGCATTAATAGAAATCTTAACCAAAGATGCTCAAGCCAAGGATCTATCACGAAAAAAAAAAAACTAACAATTTTCTAAACACAACTATTTTAACTAGGCTAAAATAGTTAAAAAGTCAAATAGTCAACTTCCTAACCAAGGCCATTATGCCTCTTATATTCCTCAACCACCTAATGGCATCTCCAACGGTGCATTATTTTTTTAATCAAATTTGAATAAAAATTTGAGTAAAAACTCTTTTTGATATCGCTTGCTCCAACTTAAGAATTTGTTTTTTCATCAAACCACCGATCGATCGAGTGGTCGACTGATCAATGTAAAATTTTCACCAATTAAGAGGTCATTCGGGGGGTCAACCTCCCAGTGTATAATTTTCACAAAATTTTGCCTTGAGCTGGTCATCTAGAAGGACATTTGGTGGTGAAAATACAACTGTAATGAACAGTGATTTGTTGAAAGACACAAAACATCCTCATTAGTTTGGTGAAAGATTTGAGATGTTCTCAATTTGGTATAGCTTTAATAAAATCGTTGGAGAGAAAAAAAAAGTACTTTTTTACCAAATTCAAATTTGGTGATGGAGTTGGTTAAACGTTGGAGATGGCCTAATATATCATAATATCCCAAAAAATACTAGAAACCTTAAAAGTTTTACCAAATGTCTCGTGTAAGACCCACACCATGTGGATCCATGTAAATCTCATGCATGTGAATCTTTTGATAAAAAATTTAATAAAATTTGAGAGGTTTCTAACATTACTAGAGGCCATGTTTGTTTACCGGCGGGAAAAGCGAGATTAGAGTGCTATAACTATAGATTCCACACACAACTTGTTTGGTGATAATTAGAGAGGAGGAGAAATAGTTCGAGAGGCTTAGTAATCCCCCTCAATATAAAGATTAATTTGGCTAAATTTTAAATAAAATTAAGAAAATAATAAGCAAATTAAATCTATTTTATATAAAAAATTTATATTTTTACCAAATGCAACAGTTTATTTTAGCATTTATTTTAAATTATTTTTAATATAAAATAAAATATTTATATTAAAAATAAATTAACAATTCTATCACTAATCATTACTCAATCTATTTTCCTAATAAATATATTTTCACTAACGGTGTGTTTGGTTAGGGGATTTGGGAAGGGAAATGGAAAGGGAAATGGAAATGAAAGGAAAAGGAGAAAGAATTAATAGAATTCCAAATCCCAACTATGTTTGGTTGTGTTGGTTATAAAATAGAATTGATGTCCTAAAAGGTATCCTATTTCTTTATTTATTTCTCACCCCCTTTCTTTTCCCATATATTTTTTATTATAACCAAACATAAATAGGATTACATTTCTCATTCCTTTTCCAAATCCCACCTCAAAAACTCCAACCAAACACAGCATAAAGGAATTCTTTTCTTTCTTGTGCTTTAATTGAAAATTGTAAGAATGTTATCTACATAAATGAATTAATTGAATTAATCCTATGGAAAAAATCGCAATGCTTGAGGATTAGATTTCATTTTCAGAGCCAAAACTTTTTTATTATGTAGACTGTTTAATGGGGTGGTTGCTGAATTTTTTAGGAATGACTCTTATTTTTGATTTTGTAATTGAATTTGTTACCTATTACAGGATTTAGCTATTATACATTGATTGGGTTTAGTGTTCCTTTTTTTTTTTCCTTCTTATTCAAACGGTCTTCTCTTTTTTCTCAATTGTTGACGCAAAGGTTTAGGAAAAGTTAACTTGAGAAGCAGAGCATAAATCATGTGAGGAAAGTGGAATTCTCCCCCTACCGACTTAAGTCGAGATATCAATCATACTCACTAAAATTCAATACTTCAAATATTTATCCCTTGACAAAGTTTTAGTCAACATATTCGAAATATTATTATCTGTGTGAACATTTTCGAGTTGCAACAATTCGAGATCAAAACACATTGATGTGGGATACCATTGAATTCGTGATGTGTTAGATTCGAAATTGTTGCAACTCGAAAAGGTTCACACAGATAATAATATTTCGGATATGTTGACTAAGACTTTGTCATTTCAAAATTTGTTCATTTTGGTTGGTTAAACTTTCGAGCCGATCTCAAACTAGCTTTTGTTGAGCCAAACTCGAGTAGTTTGGTATTTTTACATAATTTTAGATTTATCGAACCAAACCGAAGCTTGGTTTGAAAACTTTAATGAGTTCTTCAAGATTGGCTGGTTTACTTAATGAGTTGAGCTCGATCGAATTTTAACGAGTCGAGCTTGAGCTGTTTGTTTCATTTATTACCCTTACCTATAACTTGTGATTTCAAAAAGTGTGGTATTTTATCAAATAGTTTGGGGTCATATTTTTGTAATATGTTATTGAAAAACAAATTTGAGCCAAAAGACTCTTTAACATGCCATATTTTCGACTTTGGGAAGTCAATTTGGTTGTGTGGTACTTGTATTAAGATTGCTGAACATGCATTTGTAATGGTGATATACCTAGAATTAGTCAACAGAGTAGAGGACCTGGCTATGTATGTAATGTAATTGCTACCAGCATTGTAAGAGGATATCCAGTGAAATTAGTCAAAATATCTAGCCCAAATCCCACTTTATTACTTTAGCTAATCACCTTTTCAATGTACACTCCGAGAATACTCTTTAATTTAGCCGTCTTTTTTTACAATATTCATTTAATGCTTTTATGACAGAGAAAAAGGACAAAGTAAATGGTTAGTGACTCAACAGAAGTAGCTAGAAACTACAAACTTTACAGAAACCACATAAGTCAAATCATCTACTTGTATATTTGAATCGGTAATGATGGAATAAGTGAATTATTTGATATTTCCACTAGAAATTTTAGGTTGAGGAAGTTTTGGCATTTTGTCTTCAGTTTACTTGTTTCATGCTGATATGACTTAAATGGCATCGACCCTGATGGACTGCCAATTGTTGGTCCACACCCGTAGCATTGGTCTCATACAATGTCCTTCCTTCTGACTTGTGTTATACTATTTTGACATGGTACTCACAAAAAGTCGTACGAAATGTGAATTGTAGTTGATGATTTTGGTTGATGATGCGGGAGGTGAATGGCCTATGATTGGGCATGCACCGTGGAATGGTTGCAATCTCGCCGACTTTGTGATGCCGTTCTTCCTATTCATTGTGGGGATGGCAATTGCACTTGCTCTCAAGGTTAGTTTATCAATTTTATTCAAAGTAACAATGTGGATTTTCAGAGTTGTTATTACCATGCATTTATCCTTGATTTTTTATGCATAGAGAATACCCAACTGGCTTATAGCCACCAGAAAGGTTATCCTTAGAACTCTTAAACTCCTCTTTTGGGGCCTCCTGTTACAAGGTGAGTTTTTGTTTCATTTTTGTACTTGCTCTGCATGAATTTTCCTTATTGTCCTTTAAAGCACCAAAACTTTGGTTTTGCATATAAATGATAACGAAGTTGATTCCCTAGTTCAAAATGCAACATAAACACTACAATGCTAGGTAACTTTCTAGCCAAAAGAAAAAGAGTTTGTCTTTGCATTGTTTGATGAATAGTGGCTAAAAAGCACTCCCTTTACGGGCCAAGATGATGTTGTTGGGTACACACTTTTAATATGTGGAGACTTTCATACTTCTGTTGCTTACTATTGAAAATCTAACAGTGTTTTCATATCTTTGGACATGAGAATTAGATGAATCAGACCTTAGACATATATACCCGAGTCCGTGTAACATAGTTTTCAACTTGTGTTTTCAACCTGAATTTTAGCAATAAAATTACATTTCACATTAAGATGTTTTCCTATAAGGACATATTTCGGTGTTACTTGGGATGCTAACTTGGCTGCATTATGTTATGAAGGAGGTTATTCACACGCTCCCGACAAATTAACATATGGCGTGGACATGAAAAAGATAAGGTGGTGTGGCATTCTGCAGGTAGTTTTGTTCACAATTTTCTGTGGTAGAGTTTCATCACAAATATTATTTTTTAGTAAGTGGATTTTTATGCAGTAATTTTTTTTACCCTTTTTAGAGAATTGCTCTGGCATATTTGGTAGTGGCATTAATAGAAATCTTAACCAAAGATGCTCAAGCCAAGGATCTATCACGTGTCAGGTTCTCGATATTCAGGTTATATTGTTGGCATTGGTAAGTTAGATGCTTTAAGTTTTCTCTTGGTTTGTGATGATACCTATTATATTTTTGAGATAATTTTTTTTAAAATGTAACTCTGATTTTGAATTTGCAGGCTGGTCGGAGCATGTGTTCTTATTGTTTACTTGGCTGTAATTTATGGAATTTATGTTCCAGATTGGCATTTCACTGTCCACAATATGGATAGTGCTGATTATGGGAAGATTTTGACTGTAGGTCCCTGGTTGCTAATATCTCACACCACTCTTCTATGAATCTCTCCTTTTGGCTACATACCTTGTTGTAATCTATTACTATATGATAAAGATGCCACTAAAATTGTATTTTGTAATTTTTAACATACACCAGAATGAAAAGCATGCCTAATATGTTGTTAAATCTTGACTAATTATCTATTAATTTTAGGTTCTGAATTACCCTCTCTGTTATGAAAATTAATGAGAGTCTTCTCAAGTATGTATATAATTGGTCTACTTGAAAAAATGAGGTCATTTCCCAGTATGCATCATTTTGATAAATGGGTGCATTTTTATTTCAGTTGGTTTATTTTAGCAGTTGCATTATCCCCTATGGTGATTATGTTCAAAGGATGCACCTTATCTGAAATTTTAAACAAAGTCAAACAGAGGAATTCTATTTCACTCACATATCTTGAATAGTCAATTAATGTTAATTTCAGGTAACTTGTGGTGTAAGAGGAAAACTGGATCCTCCTTGCAATGCAGTGGGTTATATTGACAGAGAAGTGCTTGGTATCAATCACATGTATGAACATCCAGCTTGGAAGAGATCTAAGGTGAATGATTTTTCTTCTCTTATTCTTCTTTTTATTGAATTATTTGGTATTTAGACCGCTAGTTTACTAGCATGCATTTGTGAAATTCTCATCTTCCCTGAAGTAATGCAGGCTTGCACTAAGAATTCCCCTTATGAAGGGCCTTTTCTGAATGATGCTCCATCATGGTGCTGGGCACCTTTTGAACCTGAAGGAATTCTAAGGTTTGTTGTGCTTCACAATTACTTTTTCACTTGTGTATTGAGCGAGATGTAATATCTCATAGCTTTCACTGGGTAGGTGCCTTGATCAGGTTTTGCTCAATTATGAGTGAACCCGTTATGAGACCCAAAGGTGGTTAGAAAATTGACGATAAAGTAAGACTAATTGAAGATAATTTAATAGAAACACATGCTGAGATGGTTTGGGGTCATGTACAAAGAAAATCTATGGATGTAACAGTAAAGAAGAGTGATATGATCACTTCAATTGGAAATGTAGAGGGAAAGACCTACACTGACATAGATTCAGTAGTAAAATATGATATGAAAGTATTTAATTTAACTGAGTATATAGCCACTGATAAAGAAAAATGGTAAAAAAAAATTCATGTAGCTGATCCGACTTGATTGGGATTTGGTTTGGTTTTATTATAGTCAACATTGAGAACATGTGTCCACAACTTTATATTTGGATTTGTTTGCAACTGCAGTCACTGGCGGAGGGACTTAGGGACCAGGGGGGTGACGTGCCCCCCTTGGATTTTGAGAAATTTTTTTTTTATAAATATAAAGAAAATATTTTAAATAAAAAAAATAAAAATATTATTAGAGTGAAATGTCAATGACATTTTAAAAATTATGAGAACAATAATGGTTGTTTTAATTGAAAATGAAGTGAGTACTATAAACCATATTATCTATGAAAATTTTACGAAAATTTTTGAATGCAGCAGTGATGTCATTGTTATTGACATGCAAGTATAAGTAATCTCAGTATAAAGATATGAAATTTATTGAATTGTTAGTTACATTTAACATGTCATGTGAGGTTCACTCTCTATGTGTTTATTTACTATTAGTTGGTGATATCACATACTAATGATGACGTGATATTACCATTATATTGAATTTTTAATCAAATTTTGTATAAAAAAATAATTTATTATTATATAATTTACGGTAAATTACAAATACACTCCATGAGATTTGCTTAAAATACAAATTACTCCATGTGGTTTGGAAAATTACAAATACCTCATTGTTAGTATTTTTTATTTAACAGAATTAACTACAAAAATAAAATTCATAATTGTTCTTTTATACAATAATAAAATTACCTAAATTATTAATTGAAACATACTTTTAATATCATTAAAAACTGTTAATTGACTTTATAATTCATTAATAAAAGGGGGCAATTTGTTATAAAATTAGAAACCTCAGGGGTAGAATGTAATTTCCAAAATCACAAGGGGTGATTTGTATTTTAATCAATCTCAGGGAGTGTATTTGTAATTTGCCCTATAATTTATTTTAAGACTTATATCCATATTTTTTTGTATTGTCCATGATATACTAGTTATAAATAACATTATTTTTTTGATATTTCTCGAAATCAATCGTAAAAACTTGCGTGAAATATTTTTATAAAATTTTTTGATATTGTAATTAGTAAGTACTCCCTCTAATTTAATTTTCTGATTCTGCCACTAACTGCAGTTCAATATCAGCTATCCTCTCTACAATCATCGGAGTGCATTATGGACATGTGCTTATCCATATGAAGGTTCAGTCTTTCATTTTAAGTAAATACTGTTCTGCACAAATCTGATTGACTGTCACTCATTTGTTGAATCTACGAATTTCAGAGTCACTCATCTAGACTAATACATTGGATTGTGATGGGTCTTGCACTCCTTGTTTTGGGAATCACTCTTCATTTCACAAATGGTGAGAACTGGAGAGCATGAAATAGAGGCAATTCTAAAGTATATCTCTTCTTTGCATCCTTCCATATCTCATTGCTTCCCTGGTGCAGCGATTCCTTTGAATAAGCAGCTGTACACTTTCAGCTATGTCTGTGTAACATCAGGAGCAGCAGCATTGGTGTTCTCAGCCTTCTATACTCTGGTAAACTCTTATTAAAAAAATTTTGTTTCGCTGATTTTATGGTTATTTTCTTGTATTTGGGTATAGAAGGTTTTCCCAAGGTTTGGCGATCCATATTATTAAATTAGACAATAATCATTCTAAGACAACAGGGGCACCTGTGCAATAACAACATTTTTAGGGAAATCCTCGCATTTACCAATTGAATCATATCATCTCAAGAGAAGTGACTCACTTGTATTCAAGAATATAACAAGACTCTCGCTAAAGCTCTAGCCCATTAACACATTCTCTTAACCTTTGTCTTTTGCTTTTGATTTAGGGTCTACTGTTCACCGTAATTCTCAAATTCCTGCAAAATAGAAAAAGAAACAGAAAGTGATTGTGGGTCATAGTGCGTGTAGATGGGATCATTTATTGCTGGTTCCACCAATTTGATGCAAATTTGTTTATGGACAATGAACATTGATGTGCATTGTACACTAATTCTTTAGCTACTCAAATGACAAGGACCTTAGATTTCTGCTTTATCAGACTTAATTTGATCTGAAGTTGATACTCTTCTATGCCAGGTTGATATTTGGAATTTGAAGTATCTGTTTCTGCCATTGGAATGGATTGGCATGAATGCTATGCTTGTCTATGTTATGGCAGCTGAAGGCATCTTTGCAGCATTCATTAATGGGTGGTATTATGGTGATCCCCATAATACACTGGTATGTTTTCAAGTCATCTAATTTGTTCAATTTCTAGCTGCCTTATTTTGATGTCCTTTGTTTAAGAAGTGCAATCAAGGGCTGCAGAGTAAAATTGCAGTTCCTCTCCGCTATAAAGGAGGGATTCATGGGTGGTGATCCCCTTAATCTAGTTTATCTAAACCAGGTGCATTTTGCCAAGTAAAAATTACACTCTCTCTCCCTCTCTCTCTCTGCCATTTTGATGAAACCTATATGTTGCACATATGTGCTTGTATGCTCATGTGTTTATCAGTCAATTCTCTACGACTTTAGAGCCTTAGGAGTTTCTACGGAGTTTTTGAGTCCTCTTGGGATGGCCTGCATATAAGCAGGTAGCTATTATTGGGTCAGAAATCAATTATGAATGTATTTTCTCATCGGTGAATAATTAAATGTGCAGCAGATGCAAGAAAACATAGTGGATAATTTTAGAAAAGTATATGCTTGGCTGGCCCAGTTTCCAATTTCCGTAGGTGCTCCTTGAATTTCAAGTTGGTTTGGCTGATCTTTCTAGTTCTTGACCTATCTTCTCTTTGGATTTTATAGACAAACAGTAGTGGTTACTAACATTTTTGGAAATTTTTTTCCCTCCCTGGTTAATAAGAAACAAAACTGTATGGAAGAGTGACTTATTTAGCTGTTTTAATTACCAAATTTTACCATCATATGATGCTAATCGTAATGAAGCTAAACCATACTATTAGCATGCCCCACATTCCAGGTCTAAGGTAATCTTGTTTTAGGAGTGTTCTTAATCTACTTGTTTGTTGTAAAAATGTATCATGTTTACTCACTAGAATAGAACTACATTTATCCTGACAACTGTGCTACATAAGAATAGTTAGATCTCCGTTTTAGGAAATGTATTTTTGTATTTTATTTATTCTTGGGTGTAGTTTAGTCTCTTGCTTCTCTTTTATTAGGGTTTATGAGTCATGTAATTTTAATGTAGTTAATAAATGTTTTGGGTAGCCATGAGGATTTCTCTCTTCCTTGTGATGTTAATCTCCGTTAACATGGTATCAGAGCTCAGGTTTTGGGAGACCTTGGCTTCAAGTCCCCCTATTTACATTTGTTTCCCCATTTTCATTATGTTGCTTTACATGTTTGTATCTCCACGTGCAAGATAGGTTTGCACATGAGGGAGGCTATTGAAGAGCTTATTATGCATTATTGAGCACTTTCCTAACAGTTTAAACTTTTGGGATTCATGGGTGATCCAACACTCCTGAGCTACGTGGCATACTATGAATCAACATCCTATACTTACTGTTTGTCCAAAACTTTGTAAAACTTGTATTGTTTTATTGTTATCTAAACTGTGTGAACCAATCCATGTCAGATATACTGGATCCAGAAGCACATTTTCATAGGAGTTTGGCATTCAAGAAGAGTGGGCATTCTCCTTTATGTAGTCTTTGCAGAGATACTGTTTTGGGGTGCGGTTGCTGGCATTTTACATAGGCTGCGGGTTTATTGGAAGCTTTAAGCTTCTGAGCTAGTGATGGTATAGTTCAGTGTAGCCTCTTGTCTATGAAGCATGGATACCTCTCCAGAGGTCATGTACTGGTGTCTGCTTCAGACACATTGGAGGAACTCACACACACACACATATTTTAATCGGACACATTGGGGACATGCTAAGACATCACTGGATGATGTTTCATTTTTTAATTTTTTCTCTTCATTGGATTAGTATACCCAATGTTGATGAATTTAAAAAAAATAAATATATAATATTCAAATTTTACATATAATAAACATATACAATTATATGTTTTGCACATGTTCTAGACGTGCTGTGTTGTGTATTTTTTAAGAATTTATGTGTTTACGTGTCCATGTGTTTTTGTCTATTGTTGGAAGCTTCAGCCACTTGACTAAGTCTTGGTTTCTCTTCAGATGGCTGGCATGGCAAGTTTGATTCGCGATAATGCATTTGGTACGAGTGTATGCAAACGTTAGATTTGTACCCAGTTTGTCCCTTACAAATCCTATCCAGCTGGGACTAAATTGGGCGTATTTTGTTTTTATCCTCAGCCATTATGAGAATAAAAAATTGGCATATTTTTTTTAAACATTTTGTACAAGTATGTGCAAAGGTTAGATTTGTACCCAATATAGTGTATTTTTTGAAGTATTTTATATGAGTGTTATAAAGATTAGGTCTATCTCTCTCTCGCACCTGTATCGGGAGCTAAATTGGGTCCTTTTTTTTATATTTTTAATACAAATTTCAGAGATACAAGTTGTAATAATATTTCAATTTTTAATTTCTCACACTGCTTATTTTTCCTTGTTTAAATGATTGATTTAGTTGTGAGAAGATTGATTGCATATACTCTATAGGATTGAAAAACAATACTGATATAGAACAGGATTGGCATAAAACTTTACGTATGTTTGGATTTTAGATTTATTGATGGAAAAGAAAATAGAAAGGGATACATTACTTATTTATATTCATTTTTAATAGTTAACTTAACAACAAGGGAGATTTACCAATAAATCCCAAAATTTGAACTTATGCACCAATTGGTCCCATTTTTATTCTATTAAACTATTTAGTCCCATTTAATTGTGAAGGACATAATTACCCTCATCTAACCGTAAGACACACACAGGGACTGGCATGGGCTCTTTCTCCTATCACACAGATACACACATACATTGTGAGGGGCAGACACACACACACACAGATACACACACACACAGATACACACATACATTGTGAGAGAGAGACCATGCCTTAGGTGAGTTCGCTGTCGTCTTGTCAGGAAGAGTGAAGTGAACCCTAGAGAGAGAGAGAGAGAGAGAGAGAGAGAGAGAGAGGGGGCTAGGGTTTTTGTTTTTGAAATTTGTGTTTTTTGTTTTTAGTGAATATTTTTAAAATTTTAAGTAATTTTTTTTTTATTTTTTTAGATGCATCTTACTTAGATATATTTAAATAGTAAAATATTTGTGAAAAAATATTTTAAAAAATTAATAAATACACAAAAATACGAAAAATATAATGAATTTTCATATTTTTTTGGTATTTAGTGTATTTTTTAAAGATTTTTTTATAAGTATTATACTTTTTAAGTGTATTTATGTTAAGTGTGTCTAAAAATTAAAAAAAAAATTACTTAAACTATTAAAAAAATTCATTGAAAGCATTAAAATACGAAAAATAAAAAAGTAAAATTTTCTGAAAATCAGAACCAAACAAGCTGAATCAGCTTATGTACAGAAGAAAATAGCAAATATAATTTTCAAAGTTTATCTTAACCACCTTGAGTTATATCAACGTGTCAAAATAAAAATTACTGCAAAATAATGTTATCACCAGTAGTTGATCCGTGTAACATAATATTAATAATATAAAATTAAAAATAATTCTAACTGTATAATTTTCTTTTATATTCATTTGAAAAATAAAAATATGTAGAAATAGATATTATATAAAATTTATTAAAAAAATTAAATATAAATATGTTGTAGTTGGATTATCATTTAATAATTTTATATGATATATATAATTATAAAATTATAAAATAAACACTCTTAATTAAATTAAAATTTCAACTGTATAAAAGAAATTTGACAATGACTAATCAAGAAAGAATCACGTAACAATATCTAAACACAAAAAGAAAAAATAATGAAAACATCCAAACGATATATTCATCTCAGTGTATGAAGTAATTAATCATTTGCAATATGATGTCAAAATATAAAAGAACTTATTGTTCAACAATTGAAAAACTAACTCAAATAGTAAATCCAAATTTTAGAGGTTTCTCCATAGTATTATTGTTGTACAGATTTTTCCTCTTGTGAGTTGTGATTATATAAAATAATGTAAAAAATGAAGTATAATTTCATACTCCTATATAGAATCACTGTAAAATTGAAATGACAAATCCATAATATAAAATTGGTATTGGGTATAGAATAATGCACGAAAAAATAAGAAAAAAAAAAACAATTTAGCATTAAAAAAATTCTAATACCCTTGAAAGAATTAAGTAGAAAAACTTGAAACACAGAATTGATATTGAGTTTGTAGATTATCTCAATTTACCATGAAAAATATATGAAAAAAAAATATTTGTCAAATAGAGTCCATATAAAATATGTAAGGTTAGTATAATTTAAATTAAGTTTGAATTTGTGTAGAACTTATATGTAATTAAAAAAATATATGCTGACGTGATTCTCTTAGAAAAAAGTAAGTCCTTATAATGTGTTACTAAGCCTCCGTTTGGGAAGTGGGTTGGCTTTTTGGCTTTTTGGCTTTTTGACTATTTTAGCCTGGGCTATTTTAGCCTGGTTTGGGAAGGGCTTTTTGGTTTTTTGGCTTTTTTGACTTTTTTTGTGAGAGAGGATTGTAATGATTATGGGTTGGATTTGATGTTTTAATTTTTGTGGCTAAAATAACCTATTTTGTTTTTTGTGACTATTTTAGCCCCAAACCAAGTTCCCAAACAATGCCTAAATTATGAAAAAAATACTACTTTTAATAATATGTGTGATTATTGAAAAAATATAATTATATCACTAATTACTCATTGGCTATCAATTTTTTTAGCTAATTTAGGGGGAAAAAAGAAAGATTTCTTCAAATAAAATTTAGGTAAAAAGCTAGTTGTTATGTGTAATGTATTATATAATTTAATAAAGAATACAACTTAGCATTAAAAACGTTACTTTTAATAATATATATATATATATATATATATATATAGATAATGCCCCATTTAAATTTTATCCAATTTACAAATATGAATTTTTTTGGGGTAAATTATAAACACACCCCATGAAGTTTACTTAAATTATAAATTACCTCACGTGGGTGTTTTGGAAAAGTTGGTAAAAAGCTGGCTTTTAGCTTTGAAAAATGTTTGGGGGCCCTAATTCTGTGGCTCAAATGTGGCTCAAATGGCCAAAACGACGTCGTTTTGGCCATTTTGATGTTGTTTTGTACTCAAAACGACGTCGTTTTGGCCATTTGAGCCACATTTGAGCCACAAAATTTGGGCCCTCTACCATTGCTGTTTAGCTTTTTATCAAGCTTTTTAGCTTTTTGAAAAGTGATTTGAGAAGTTGGTAAAAAATTAATTTTTGACTTTTTAGTTTAATATTTGTTTATGATGTCAAATCAAATTAAAATGACCAAAATACCCTACCCAACATTTATTTTTTACTTTTTTGTCATAGGCCTCAATTTGTAATTTCAACACTTGTGTTTTTTGATTTCCCAAATGAATTTTGTGACGTTTTTGGCCGGAAGCTTTTTTTCCCATGGATAAAAAACGTGGCATTTTGCCAAACTTTCCAAAACGGCACAATATGGCCTTAAGGTTTCTAATTTCATAACAAATAGGTCATTTTATTAATAAATTATCAAGTTAATTAACAGTTTTTAATAATATTAAAATTTTATTTTAATTAATAATTCAGATAATTTTGTTATTTTATGGGTAAATAGTTAGAAATTTCACTTTTTCAATTAATTCTGTTAAATAAAAAATTCTGACAAAGAGATACTTGTAATTTTCCAAACCACCCGAACAATGTATTTTATTAAGTAAACCCATTTTTTTTATGGGGAACTTACTGATAAGTCCCATGTACCAAGTTCAAGATCCAGCTAATCCCAAAACAAAACACTTGCACCAATTAGTCCAATACATTTTTAATTGTTACCAAAAAATCTTTTTTTTTTTTTTAATTTACAGACACTGTTCACATCTTACTACCGTCGGACTTCCATTTAACAGTCGCCGAAGACTCACCGGAATGTCTAGAATATTGCCGGAAAAAAAAAATAAAAAAACATGTTATGAAACTGTAAAATTTTACAGTTTTAAAGAATGTTATAAAATTGTAAAATTTTACAGTTTTAAACCATGATTCATTCCAGCACCAAAAAAAAATTTTGAAACTGCAAAATTTTACAGTTTTCACCGTCCGTAACTAAAACTCGAAAACTACTTGTTCAGAATTCGAAAATTTTCTCTATTAGAACAGAAAAACAGAAGTGTATAGCAGAGAAAAAAAAAAAGAGATCGAAGTAGAAAAGCGGATGTAGAGAGAGGATTATACTCTGACAACTATTTTTTGTTTAGATTTAGCCAAATCTGATGTAGATCTACTCAGATCTGAGTAGATCTTCTTCGTCGGAAATATATATCTTCGCCGTCGGTGAGAGTGAAATCACGAGTTGATTTCGATGGTTGGCGGTTATCAGTGAACCCCGATCAATGGAGAAAGACATGAACACTTGCACCATTGTCTATGACGAAAACGATGAGAGAAAAATGTAGAAAAAAAGAGAAAGAAGAAAACGTAAAAAGTGAGGAAAAAACTAGAAAGATGGAGGAAAGGACTTTTGGATGTACCCAAAAAGTTATGAAATTAAATGGTGTCCACATGTTCCACATGGGACTTGTGGGTAATTTCCCCGTTTTTATAGATAGTAATATGAAAAAAAAAGAGAGTTCGGAATGTTATATTGGGTCCAAACTCCAAATGGGCCATTTTCAAATATCCAAGCCCACATTTCATAGGGCCCATATATGATTGCTTTGTATTTGCTTCATGTCGGTCTTCTTGAGCAACAAGAAGGAATAGCCATTCTCTCCCATCAGTCGATATCCCTCATCCCTTTCTCTCTCTAAAACTTTTTTCCTTCTCTCTCTAAAACACAGCACCTCTAATGGCGTCTGCGATGGTGGAAGACAGTAGCTTCGAAGAAGACCAACTCGCTTCAATGTCGACCGATGACGTACTTAGGGCTTCTAGGCTTCTCGACAACGAAATTCGAATCCTCAAGGTTAGATCTCTATAGAACCCTAATTCATGGATTTCGATTGTTTATCCCTCACAAATTCACATTTTGGTGTAAATTTATTGTGGACTGTAGGAAGAGTTGCAGAGGACGAATCTCGAACTGGAGTCGTTCAAGGAAAAGATAAAGGAGAATCAGGAGAAGATCAAACTCAACAAGCAACTTCCTTATTTGGTTGGGAACATTGTGGAGGTAATATAGATTCTCTGTTTGGTCGCGTAGAAAAGGTTGTAAATTTGAAGAAAAGCAAAGGGAAAAAAGTACGTTAAATATTGAAGCTTCGTTGCAAACTATAGACGTTTCGCATGGACTGAATTTATTTCTGTTTGTGATAATATCCGAGATTCAAGATATTGATTTTTGTTTTTGGTTCGCTAGACTCTATCAGGAATTAAAAAAGGAGAAATTTTTATATTGATTAATTTTTGTTAGTATTTTTGCTTTTGCTTTTGCATCCCCCCCCAAGTAAGCATCTAATTAAATGTTTGTTGTCCCCAAGTATTTTATCAATTTTACTTCTGAATGTTTGACAAGGAAACTCTAGATTGGACTTATTTCATTCATATTTCTGAGTGAGATCTATGGTTTCCATTTCAATTTGTAGCTTCTATATTGGATACAGTGTCTGCAGTGAGTTTGAACCCAGAAAGCATAGTTTCTCTTTAAGTGGTTGGTTGCCTTGTGGATTAAATGATGTTTTTTAAATAAATAAAAAAATAAATATTTAGGAGCTATAACTCTAGTGTGACTTAGGATTTAAGCCAAATCAAATGTTGTGATTTTGTTGGGAGTTCTATATATATACATATATATATATATATTTTTTATAATAATGAATAGGCTAGGGTCCAAGCCAGAGGTGTGGTCTTTTTGATTCACCTGTCAGCTTAGTGTGTGTTTTTACAACAATGCTTGGGAATTTTCATGGCCCGAATGGCTCGAATGTCGTTTTGATACATTCCAGCCATTTGGGCCACACAAATTCGAGCTACCAAACATTTTTTGTGTTTTTAATATCTAATTGTGCTATCTACTTTAGTTCTTAAGAATTGTATAATATTATTTGTCTATAACATGTAAAATATAGTTTGTGATGATATGTTTGTCCTACACTCAGTTTCACGGATGATTGATAAATGTTCTGTAACTAATTTGAAGGTGGTAGCTTTTATGGTGTATGTGCTAAGTTGTGTGTGCGTGGCTATTTGAGTTTTAGCACTGTAACCACTGTTGGGCACTCACTTTGAATCTTTGTTTTCTTTTAGATTTTGGAAATGAACCCTGAGGACGATGCTGAGGAAGATGGTGCAAATATTGATCTTGACTCCCAAAGGAAGGGTAAATGTGTTGTATTGAAGACATCCACACGCCAGGTAAACCAGCATGTTTATTGTGCATCTTTGGATTTCATTATCATAGATGTTTAGAGTTAATTTTTTGGCAAGTTCTGAGACACTTCTCTCGTAGATTATTTGAGTTATGAGAGCAATAGGGTGGTGTGGGACATTAGATTTAAAGTCTTTGCATGAATGGAAGATTGAGCTAATTGTACAAGCCAAGTTATTTTGGAGGGGAGGATACAGATATGTGGTCAGCTTTTGGGTTCAGAAGGTCTGAGGCTAAATTTTCTTATCAGCGTGGTTGAGTCCTTCAAATAGTTCTTTCCCTTAGAATGGAAGTTGGGGGCTAGAGTTCCTTCCAACATAACATTCTTTTTAATATAACATTCTTTGTATGGGATGTAGGTCATGCGAGGATTCTATTGATAGATAACTTGATTAAGCAGGGACAAAGTGCATTGAACCCATTATTGTTTTATTGATTGGATCTTGAGGATTGTCCATTCACTTGATTCAGTTGTGGATATCGAGTTGTATAAAGATTTATATACATCTAGTGTGCATGTATGCCCACCAAAAAAATAGTGTGCATGGGTTGCTGCTCCTCTGTGCCTTCCTAATAAACGAATCAACAAAAAGTATCACATTTTTTAACACTAATTATCAAGTGTAATTTATAAAAATAGTTCCAAGTGATTTATTTTTTCTTCTTTTGATGTTAATTGGAATGTTAGTAATTTGATTGTGGATGTTAACCATAATGTTAAATATTGATGGCTTTTGATTATCATTTGACATGTGTGTTCTGTTTAAGCTTGTTGATGTGTTTGTTTTCTTTTATCTGGAAACCCTGAATCCTATTTGAAGCGCCATCTAATAAGTCTTAACTGCAGACTATCTTCCTGCCTGTGGTTGGTCTTGTTGATCCCGATAAGCTAAAGCCTGGGGATTTGGTTGGGGTGAACAAAGATAGTTACTTGATCTTGGATACCTTGCCATCTGAGTATGATTCTCGAGTTAAGGCTATGGAGGTTGATGAAAAACCGACTGAAGACTACAATGATATTGGAGGGCTTGAAAAACAGGCAAGTTTCTTAGCTCAAAAATATTTACACACTTATCTAATTGGCTGATGGTATTGTTAGATAGTTACATATATAAATATATATGGCTTCTCACTTGGACTTCCTTACAATTGCAACAGATCCAAGAACTAGTTGAGGCTATTGTTTTGCCCATGACTCACCAAGAACGGTTTCAGAAATTAGGGATTCGCCCACCCAAAGGAGTGCTTTTATATGGACCTCCGGGCACTGGGAAAACACTAATGGCTCGTGCATGTGCAGCCCAAACTAATGCTACTTTCTTGAAGCTAGCAGGTCCCCAACTTGTCCAGGTATATATTCTTTGTTAACTTCATTCTTGTCTGCTATATGGTGTTTCTTACTTTTTTGACCTGGTAATTTTGACATGGTTTTTATCATAAAGAAACCACCTACACCTTGTGATATTTGTGGCTTTTTTTAGAATCAAAATTGCTTTTGATGCATTTACACCAGCCATTAATATATTGAAGGGATAATAGTAGTTGTTTCTTTTTGATACACCAAGAAAGGAATATTATTATTTATTTATTTATAGCCAGTGTGGCAGAAATTTCCTCTTCTGGTTAGCTTTTTCTGATTGGGGTAACAAACTTATCTGACCTTAAAATATATTTCCACTTAATTAAGGTGCAACAGTTTTTTTCCGGAGGAAGTCAGAACTTTTATTTTTTATTTTAAATTAGTAGTCGTGAATTGTGATTGAATTTCTCGGTCAGTCGTGAACCTGGAGATTGTTCCTTTGTTAGATTAGTTATATTATGCTGTTGCCTTCTTTTTCTTCAAAAGTTAATGTATTAAATATTGTTCTTTCATGGGCCTCTGTTAAAGTGAATGAGTAGTCAAGCATTCTTGAGAAATATACGTTCGGTTTTAATATTTAATGCTTCTTACCTTTTACGTGCTATCTTGATTGTTAAAGTTCGATGCATAACTTTATCATTTGAAGTTTAAATTAAGCTAGCTAGTCCTCGAGATAATTTCTGTTACTACGCAATAATTATATTGTATATGTACTAATCTGTAATGCACTTAAGCGGTCATCAATTTGTTTTGCTCTAGTGAAGTAGTCAAGGTCACTACTATTAATTTAGTAACTAAGGTTTTTATCCATGTAGATGTTCATTGGGGATGGAGCGAAACTTGTCCGTGATGCTTTTCAACTTGCTAAAGAGAAATCTCCTTGCATCATCTTCATAGATGAAATCGATGCTATTGGCACAAAGCGGTTTGACAGGTATACCATGTTTGTGTCATTTGCAGCTTTACTTGATTTCAGTTTGTGTTTGCTATTTTTTTTTAGTCTCTGTATTATGCTTTTCTGTTGACTAGAAATTGAGTTTATTTCATATACAGTCTCACTAAATTATTTCCTCCCTCTTTTAATGCAGTGAAGTTAGTGGGGATAGGGAAGTTCAACGGACAATGTTAGAGTTGCTCAATCAGCTTGATGGCTTTAGTAGCGATGACCGGATAAAGGTTTGTCTCTTGCCTTCAACTGATTATAGTTTCAGTGTAATAGTCATTTCGAGGCAACTGTTGGCTCTTGACATCTATACCATGCTGCCACAAAGATTGTTTCTTTAGAACTTCTTGTACGGGCTAGATACTTGGGACATGGTTCTCAGCCACCACTTCTACCCATATGGAACCTACTAGCACGACTAGTGGGACTGCCTCTACTTTTTGTCATCATTTGGGTCTTTAGTTCCAATAGTTTAATTTTTTGTTTCTGTTTTGTTTTTTGTACACTGCAGGTGATAGCAGCAACCAATAGAGCTGATATTTTAGATCCTGCGCTCATGCGTTCTGGTCGATTGGATCGTAAAATTGAGTTTCCACATCCCACTGAAGAAGCAAGAGCTAGAATTTTGCAGGTTTTGCTTGCTTGCTTTCAAAATCCTTCCCTTCTGAACTTTAAACATTATATTCTCAATTTTTTACCATGGGGAATTCTAGCTGAATCATTTGCATTGGTATTGCAGATCCACTCCCGAAAGATGAATGTTCACCCAGATGTCAACTTTGAAGAGCTAGCTCGATCTACTGATGATTTCAATGGAGCACAACTGAAAGCTGTTTGTGTGGAGGCAGGCATGCTTGCTCTTGTGTGTGTTTTTTTTGGGGGGGGCTGTGGGGACTAGGCAGAGAATTTAAAGGATGCTTTGATGACAAGTAGGACAGGAAACCAATGACAATGCTGCTACAAGTGATCTAATGCATGTTCTCTGCTTGATCATAATCATTATCTAAGTACAGACGCTTCTAAAAAGTTGTCATGTCTGTGTCGGACATTGATACTTAATGCTCTTGCCGATTCTACAATCCTCTTAGTGGATGCCTTCAATCCATTCAAGTTTATTGGAAAATTGAATGTGTTTAGAGGAAGCTAATACCTAACTGCGGATGACAATCCACTGATATACTCATAAAAAGGTTGTAACAGCATGAAATTTATATTAGAGGCTAAATGTGTTACAAGTACAAAGATAAATACTAATTATTTTCCCCCTATTTTGGGGAGGCGAAGCTGAAAAGTAGTACCCCCCCCCCCAAAAAAAAAAAAAAAAAAAAGAACAAGAAAAGAGAGTAATTTGTGCATTTACATATGTGGATTTTTTTTTGGTTGAGCAACTGCTAATAAAAGCAACGGCTTGACCTTTATGCAGGTGAACCATGAGGACTTCAATGAAGGTATCATCCAAGTTCAGGCTAAGAAGAAAGCAAGCCTAAATTACTATGCATAGGCCACACATCTGAGAAGGTGGTGTGCGAGTTCAGACATAGAAGGAAACCAAAGCTTAAAGTGATAAATTACTTCAGAAAAGTTGGAATGTATGAAGTCGTGATGCAAGTTCAGCAAGGGAGGTGAGGTAGCAATTGTTTTTACTTTGAAAGTTCCAATTATAAGACTTGAAAACTGAGTGACTGACAATGACCCTTCTGGTTTTGTGTGGTTTTTATGATAATTGTGTAAGCACACTGTAATTAGGGGCATAGTTATTGAATCTGTTAGAAACGACTATGTTCATCACTTGATTTCTGGCTTGTTCCAGCTATATCATCCTGTTTCGGTCATGCCGGGCTGTCTTCCAGCCAGTATATGTGCATTTTTTTGGAGGTTTTTTTAATATTATGCTTTGTTTGCATTGGTTGAATACATTTTTGAAAATTGTTTAGTGGAAAACATTTTTTTTATTTTTGTTTGTGTGTGGAAAATGTCTAGCATGTTATAGTAGGATGAACATGTTGTTCCAGTAATGGATAAGTGATGATCAATGTATCTCATTAACGCTAATTGTGTTCTGTTGATTGATTTAATGAGTAGAAATAATGTTCTTAGCAAAATGGTTGAGAGCACTAAAAGTGGTGTTCTAATAGCAACACTAATGATGTGGCAATGGGCGCTAATGATGTGGCAGTGGGCCCTGCCCATTGCCTATGTCTTGTTTTTTTTTTGGCATTCCCAATACATTAGTGTTATTAATGGTCTTTTTTTTTTTAAGTAATATGAATCATTGTTGATGTTCTTAATACAAGCATGTACGATTATTTATGGTGATTATAAATTCAAAATGGTATTTTTTAAGGCAATGTTTTAATATTTACAAATGGAAGAGTGATTTATGGGCATTTACAATTTCAGATATTGGCCTGTTTGGTGTTGCTAGTAACAGCTTCTATTCATTGGTAAAAAAGCTTAAAGCTTTCTGGAACAACAATGATAAAATAATAAAATTTAACTACCTCCCCTTAAAAAATTTTAGAAGTGGCAAATTTAAATATCAGGTAGCAAAGTGCACAGTTGCTACTGAAATATGTTACTTCCCTTTGGAGATGGTCTAAACAAGCTAAAAGTTAATCTATAAAAACGAAAGTAAAAGCTAGTATTTTAGTAAGATAATCTTGAAATAATTGCATTACATGTGAAATTTTCTATACTGCAAGTCTTGTGTCTAATGAAAATAAGACTATTTTTTTACTATTCAATTGAAATGTAATTCTCTTTTAATAATCAATTATTTAAGATATTTTCGCTTTATAAATAATAAATAGAAGCAATAAATAAAAGTTATATTGTTTATTAAACAATCTAACATAAAATTTTCAAAAAAAAAAAAAAAAAATTATTATAAAGGAGAAATTACCGATAAATTCCAAATTAAGGAATGATGATCAATTTATTTGTGTGTTTTTTTTTATGAATCATTTGGTCTTATTTAATTGGTAAGGAATATTTTCTTTTGATTTGGCATGGGCGGAGTTTACACATTTACCCTTGTTGGATTCTTTTTTGCTCATTTGTGTATAATGATTGAGATGGTAATGTTTTACATTTCCATTTTTGTGTGTTTGATTTATGTAGAGTGATATGCAGTGGATAGGTTTGCTGATGTTGTTTTCTTCATTAATATTGATACGGTTAATATTACATTTTTACTATGACAAATGTTATTAACATTCCATATCACCACCAACATCTATACACTCAAAAAACAAAAGAATGGGTGGTACATTGCAACACAACAAATCAAAAAAATGATACTAACATTACATTTCATTAACATCAATACGGTTAACATTACATTTTTTTTTTATCGTATATGTTATTAATATTTCATATCACCACCAACATTCCATATTACTACAAATGTTAATAACATGCCGAATGTATATTACAACACAACATATTGGTGTTACTTGTGTTAAATTGGTTCAATCAAACATCATTATCCAACGTTACCAAGTCCACACTAGGCCTGTGTCCCGACCTACACTTTTGAGAATACAATAAGACATTAGTCCATCAAATCTCAATAAGCATGACCACCTACCAACCAACCCACAATACCATAACAGAATAAAAAACAGAGGATTTCCCAACCCAAAACAGGCCATGTGTCCCAATATGCATTTGAAAACATCAAGTAAGACCGTATTCCATTCAAACTCAACAACCACGCATAATTAACATCCAACCTAGACCACAATAACAACAGTCACATAAACAACGGCAATCTACGATTACGAAATATTAATTTTTGGTGGATGGTCAAATGTAATGTTCACGTATATATCAATTCCCCAAATCCCACAATGCAAATGTACATCACACAAAAAACTCTCAAAATGCCCAATTCCAAAACTGAACCCCAAAAACAAACAACCAAAACCACAAGACATCGTATGGAACTCTAGGAGTTTTGGGATCGTTGTACACCAACGAGGACATTGGTAATTGGTCTCAAAATCGTCTAAACGGGCCACTATGAAGTGACTCCTCACCGGCGCAAATTACACCGTTGATGACGAGTTGGGTTACAAACGGGGTGCCGTCCTAGTGTGGATTGATCCAGTTAGGGTTCGAAGATGAAACCTATATGTGGAATTTGCTAAGAACCCTATTCGGCAGTCTCTCAAACACATTTATGGTTTCATTACACTAACATGGTAATGTTATCAACGTAAGAACGTTGATTGCCGACAATGCCTTACACACACCAGAAGATTTTATGGAAAACAATGGAAAACTGAAAAAAGCCTATAGTGCGCTCGAAGCTTACAAATGTAATTTGACATTACCCAAAACTCACATCTACCCCTTCTGTGAACATCAAATATGTGTGTGGTTGAGAACAAAAATGACATAATCTTTGATTGAGGACTTTTCGGTTCAAAAGAAAACATGTGGGACTAATTGGTGTATAAGTTCATAACTTGGAATTTATTAGTGCTTCACCCGTAGCAAACAGCCCCATTAGTACACCCACCACCGGATCAAAAAATCCCTTCCCATTTCTCTCTCTTTCTCCAACTTTCATTGAGATCTTCTGAATTTAGAACGAAATTTTCAACACTCAATTTCTTTCAATTTTTTTGTTTTTTAAAGATTGCTTCAAGAGAGAGACTATCTTGTGATGTTCTTTTCTAGAAAAATAAATAAATAAATAAAATGCAAAAAGCTTAATAGGGTTTAGAGTACTTTATTCCACTAGCATTATGCAAAACATTTTTTTTCTCAAGATTGAGGGCAAAGGAAAAAAAATGGAGGCAGATATTAGCTTAGAATCACAACTGAGGGCTGAAATATGTTGGCACTTAGATTGAGATGCTGACATGGCACTCACTACTTATCCTACTACTTTCACCCTTAGTCCCGTTTATTTTTAGAGGTAGAATGAAAATGATTGATAGTGAGGGGATTAAGTAAAATTATATTTATTTTGATAATAGTTATTAGTGTAGAGATTGTTAAATTATTTTTATATAAAATAAATATAAAATAATAAAATAAATAAAAAAAATACAAAAACATTAATCATTAATATTTAAAAAAAAATACCCAACATGTAAAAAATTTTAAAAAAATAAAAATAAAATAAAAAATTTCCAGAAAAAATAAAAAAAAATGCCTGACATGTAAAAAATAAAATAAAAAATAAATAAATAAAAAAAATTTCTAGTCTGCTAGACTATTTTTCTAATACCAAGTCTTGGAGGCCCATCTGAATCCCTTGGGAAGGTCCATCCTAATCCGAAACTCACTATTAATCCCCTCCCCATCTCTCAAAACAAACACAATATTAGTGGGTCTCACCTCACTACTAATCTCAATCTTCCCTCTAACTCTCCAAACAAACGGGACCTTAAGTTATTTGGTGGTCCTCGGTACGGTTATGTGGTACCTTAGATATATTGTGATTAGTGAAAAAAGTAAAATTTATAATTTTATATTGAGTAATTGATAAACAGTAAAGAACATGAAAATTTATGATTGATTAGAAACATGAATATATGATCCCAATGATATAGTTTTTCCTTAGAAATGAGAAGTTGAGAGTTCCACCTCGACTTTAGGAATTGCATAAGCAAAAAACCTAGGCAATGTTAACGGATGAATTATTGAAAAAAATCACTATATATTTATAATTTATTCTTCAACCCACACAAAGCGTACATATCCAGGTCAATACATAACTATGTTAAAAAAAAAAAATAAAAAATTATAGTGTGTTTGATTTGAGTTTTTTGAATTAAATTTTTTTAAAATTGAATTTTTTGATTTTCGTGTTTTTTTTTTTGTTTTTAGTGAATGTTTTTAAAATTTTAAATATTTTTTTTTACTTTTTTAGATGCACCTTATTTAGATGTATCTAAAAGTATAAAATTTATAAAAAAATATTTTTAAAAATTAATAAATACATAAAAATATAAAAAATGTACTGAATTTTAATTATTTTTTTATATTTTTGGTATTTAGTGAATTTTTAAAAGGTTTTTTTCAATTTTTATTTTTTATTTTTTAGGTATATATATGTTAGGTATGTCTAAAAATTAAAAAAATTGTTCAAAATATTAAAAAAATTCGATAAAAATAAAAAAATTCGAAAAATAAGAAAGTAAAATTTTCTAAAAAATATTTTTAAAAAATGATAACCAAGCGTGGTGAAACCCATGACTCATAAATTAATTTATACTCCCCCATTAGACGAAAGACAAACAATAAAAACTATCGTTAACTTTTGGGAGCTGAATAAATTGAATCCAAACTCCATCCCTTAGCACTTAACCTCCTTCAATCCATAGGCAAGGTACAGAAAAGTCGGATCAGTGGCTCCTTCTTTATAATATGCATACACCAAAGTGCTATCATCGCGCATGCTCTCCCCCACAAAACTGCAGCAAAAAAACATTATATCAATTACCATAGATATTATTGAATTTAAGTTAACCATGTGAATTCATGCAAGAAAGTCACAAATTTAATTGTTGGATAACGGTGTCAATTTCTTGTTTTTTGTAACAGGAATAAGGTTTTTCTTTTGTAAAAAACAAGAAACTTGTTTGGTGTACAAAAATATTTTAAAAACAAATAAAAATAAGTAACAAATAAACATGTTTGATGATGAGTTACCGAAGGTGGTGGAGAGTGGTCGGAGGGTCAGGAGAGAGTGAAAACCTGTTATAAAACACTTTTTTTTTTTTGTTTGTTTCCAAGAATTTTGAAAATTTTGGAATCAATCATTTTTTTAAAACAAAAATAATGTACTAAACAAGTTTTCGTTTTCAATTTTCATAATAGAACATTTTGCAGACAAGGCCTGAGTTAACCATGTGAATTGATTGAATAAAGTCACAAATCTAGCTATTAGATCAAAGCG